AACAATATAGTCTTCTTTCTAGTATGGAACTTCCTTGATGTCTTATCGAGGGTTCACGATGAGCGAGTTAATTTCGAGTTGATATAGATACAATTCACTTAGTAGGGAGCTAGCTAACTCTGGGTGCCTCGCTGATCACATGACGATTACAGGTCGAACTTGAGTTTTTTACCACTGAAGTTATGTAGTATCTTCGTAAAAATACTAATGTGCGATGTGAATCCACTGAAGTTAAATAGTTTATAATATTCGGAATTTATAAATGTTCCTGGCCAATTATCTGAAGTTTTCTGATTAATAATCGTTAATCACAATTATAGCTTCCGAGGTTTATAGTATACCAACTATAGCAAACCAATAAGATATACTCTGTTTTAGACTTTGTTGGTTATATTTGTAGTCGTGTGGGGGCTTTCTAGAAAATTCAGATTGTGTAACAATTCAAATTTAAGCGTTTACGTACACACATATATTATTGATTCTTACACTCGAGAATCTTCTACAACTTCAGAGAATAGGCGGGAGTTTCGCAATACATATTTAACAGTATACGTTATGTACATTTCTAAATATAAATTTAATTTAAACATACATCGATATTAAGATATAGAATAATAAATCCGTCACATACTAAATCGTAAACTATTTGACATTTAATGAGAATCTTCTACCATTAAGCATAAAACTGAAAAGCTGTAGTTAATATTCTGATTTATATATTAAAATGAGTCTCTCAGGACCAAGCAAGATTCACACGAATACAGTCGAGAAGAAACAGAGAGGTAGAACGGAAATGCAAAGAAAGACTGTATGTTTTCTCACCACTATGATGTGTCCTACAAAGAACTATAGAAATAGTGTTTTTCTATAAGTAAAACAACAAACATACAAGCGCACGCAGAAATGAAAATGTATAACGATGACCTTACAAAAGATTAATGAAAGTATTGCACGTACTAAACATTTATGCATTTAAGGCATTAAAAAGGCTTTTTTGGCGAAAACAACAAACTTAAGGTAATATTAAAATTCATTTCCTAATGTAGATTTAGCTGGGTTCTAGATAGATTAGTACATATGAAAGGGAAATGGTTAGTTACCATGGCTGTAGCTTGGTTCTAAATAGGTTATTACGCATGAAAGGGAAATGGTTAGTTACCATGGCTGTAGCTGCGTTCTAGATAGATTATCACACATGAAAGGGAAATGGTTAGTTACCATGGTTGTAGCTGCGTTCTAGATAGTTTATTACGAATGAAAGGGAAATGGTTA